CACTGAGTTATCTTCGCAGTAAGCACCCTATGCACTGAGTTATCTTCCCAGCTCCTGTTTTTAAAGTTTTTATTTATTAGTATGTGTGCATGCATGTATGCATGCATGTGAGTGTGTGTGTGTGGTTGTGCATGCCATAGCATGCCTTTAATTCCCTCACTAGGAAGACAGGTGGATCTTCGTGGGTGTAAGGACAGCTAGGGCTATACATAGTGAGACCTTGACTCAGAATAAAAAGAAGGAAGAGGAGGGGGAGGAGGAAGGAGAGGAAGAGGAAGAGGAAGAAGATTAGCTTTAATGAAAACAGAAAATGCATGAAAACAGAAAAGATTTTTATGAGAAAACTGAAATAGATGAAAAAGAAAAAAATAAATAAATGCAGCAAGGTTCAGGAAAGAGGGTAAGAGTTGAGAGACCCCTCCTGGCCTCTCCCCAGGAAGCTGTCCAGAGACCCCTCCCCAAGACATGGTTGGCACAAGGATGGAGGTGGAAGGCTGAGGGTTAGCGGGGAATCCAGTGCTGGCTTCTGCAGCACATGAACTAAAACAGATTTGTGTCGTCTCTGCAGACGGTGAAACTTTGCATGGATTTGATTAAAACTGGGGAATTCTGAGTGGAATATATGTATACCTATCCTTGCATGTTCACACACACTCACACGTACTCAAAGCATATTTTGAGATGGAGTCTTATGTAAGCCAGGCTACTCTTGAACTTGTCCTATACTTGAGGGTGACCTTGAACTGATCATTCCTCCGCTCCTGACTGTTGGGATTTTAGAGCACCATGTTCGGTTTGTGCAGTCCTGGGGATCAGACCCTGGGCTTCCTGTGTGCTCTTGGCAAGCTCTCTTCCAAGTTCTATGCCCATGTCAGAGACTACGTTAATGTGAGTATTCCAGTTTGCCCAGGGTTGTACTTTTGTAAGATGTAAGATTGGGGCCTGCAGGATAGGGGATATATAGACTCTCTGATAGCTTCCAAATAAAAGAACAAATAGATAATGTCATCAAATCTGTCCTCACAACCTAGCAGAAACTGACTCCCGAAGCTGAGGCAGTCAGCTGGAGTCTGCACTTTGGCTTTCTCTCCACAGCTGAGCTTCCTGTGGCTGAACTTCCAGACGTAAACGGCAGCGTTTATATCATGGATAAACAATAGCACCAGCTCTTGGGAATGATTGGCCTTGTAGCTGTGCTCGATTGTACAGTCCGCTTGCACTCGGGCTGTCCTACTGTCATGGTTAGGGGAGTCAGATGTCCTCAGACAAGGACACTTGGAGGGCACTTTAGATAAACACACTTGGGTCTGAAACGGGGTGGAGGTGGGAGAAACCATGTTTCCAGAGCCAGCTTCTCAGTGAGTTCAATCAACACAAGACAATTTCCCAATGTACTGTACCCCACTGAGTACTTAGTGTGTATTACAGAAACAGTGTATTTTACAGTACCCCAAATCATAACCTTTGCCACATAAATTGTAGCCATGAGACATTTAGACATTTAGACATTTGTCTGTAAGACTTGGTTTCTTCCCAAGTAAAATGAAAACTCTTAAAGTATAAACGGGAAACCTGAGTATATACAGGTGACACAAGTACAATCCCAGGACTCAGGAAGTTGATGCAGGAGGATCACAAGTTCAAGATTATCCTGTGATACATATCAAGACCCTTTCTTAACAAACAAAAGGAGAAGGCCGAAAAAATTTAAAGTAAATGAGAATGTATATGAAGTTCTTAGAGTTTTAAGCAAAGTAGTTCCTGTTGCCATTGGCTGCGTGTGTTCATTTCCTTCCCTTAGATTTATTTACCCTTGTGTGGTTTACCTGCCAGGCATAGGGTTTAACCTATCAGGATTCACTGAGTAGCCACTGAATTAGCATAATGCTTTGCTTTTATTATGATTTAGTTAACAAATGTTAGTATCTGTCTGTGACAAGCCGGATGTGTGACAATTTAAAATACTAATTCTTGACTAATTAGCCAGATAACCCAAGAGGAAGTAAGCTGAAACCGAAAAGTGATTTGTTACTACTGTGCTTACCATGAGCACCTCTGCTAGAGAAACTGACCTTCCCAGGCTTGCTCAGGGAGCAGTGGATGACAGGGAACAGCAGGGCTGGGGATGTGGCTCAGTGGGTAGCTCAGTCCCTAGCATCCCTGGAAGCCCTGGGTTCTACCCCCAGCATTGCACAGCCTAAGTATAATGGAACCTGGTATCATTTCAGTGCTTGGAAGAGAGAGGCAGGAAGATCAGAGATTCAAGGTCATCACATACTGAGTTTAAGGCTATCCAGGGCCACATAATACCTTGTCTTTAAAAAAGAGAAAGGAAGAAAGAGACATTGAAAAACCAAGGAACAGTATATGCTGAAGTCCCGTTGTCCAGCATAGCACGGCGGATGTCCAGGGCAGTAGGTGTACAGGATTAGTGGTGCTGTTGGCATGAGATGAGGATAGAGAGGTGACTGGAGGGAAGCATGATTCTGAGCTGTCTGGGAGGTGGTGTCAATAGTTGGCATGTAGCAGAACATGATGATAATGAATCTGATTCTAACTATATTGAGTATACATGAGACATGGAGGTGGAACTATCAGGTGGACATAGGATTATAAGCAAGAGGGTTAGAGGACAACTAAGAATGTATTTTGCATTGCTAATTTGAAGCAATAAATAGAGAAATATCTGAGAATATGGTGTGAGAAGAGGGGGGACTGGCATCAAGTCTCAAGGAACCAGTCTCTCACAGTCCGGAGAGGGGTCTGTAGCCCTGGGACAGAGGAGAGGCCCACAGGGTTCCCAGTGGGGTGCTAGTGGGGTTGGCTTTGTGGCTGGGCAAGGACAGGTCTGGAGATCGCTTTGTTAGAGCAGCTGGGCCAATTCAGAGGTGTGAGCAGCTCTCCCAGAAGCTCACCCTGAGAACCATGATCGAGCACAGGATTCTAGTTACAACTTCACCTTCAGAATATTTAACCAAAATACCTCTTTCTTCCCTTTTGTGTTTCAAGGCTCTACTGATTTTGGAAATGTCAGTTTTGTGGTTCCTGGGATTCATCCATATTTTTACATTGGGACTGATGCCTTGAATCACACCGAGCAGTACACAGAAGCTGCAGGTGAGCGAGCGTGAGCTGTGGGCTCGGGCTGTGGGCGTGAGCTGTGGGTGTAGGGCTCGCTCCCTCCTCCTGCTAAGTGCTGCTCTTGAGCCTGTTCTTCTAGAAAATCGCCTCAGAAAACACTGTATTGTGCTCAGAGGCTGGAGAGGCAGCTTAGATACTGAGAGGTAACCTGGGGAATTGCTAAATGCATTTTAACAGAGAGAGGGATTTTGATTTGTTTTCACCGCTTAGGATCACAAGCAGCTCAGGTGTACACGCTGCGTACAGCCAAAGCTCTGGCAATGACCGCACTGGACGTCATCTTTAAGCCGGAGTTGCTGGAAGGAATCAGAAAGGAGTTTAAATCGAAACTTCAAGAAGAACAGCTTTTAAATACACCAGCATAAAAGGAAAACCTAGGGACTGCTCAGGAAACGTTAAGTTTTGTTTGTTTGTTTGTTTGTTTGTTTTACTTGTAATGTTTTTTCAGTGAAAGAGAGCATGCTTGTTTTTTCAGCGTTTGAAAGTGAGAACAGGATCTAGCGAAGACACTAACTCATGTCTAGATTTAATGGAGTTTGTGATGCTTCTGGCATTGGTGTGTATTACCATCTATTAAGCCAGATGATACCTGATTGTGTAACATTCGGTAATGTTTTGTAAATGTATCTGTTGTATAGTGTTACAAGTCCCACAGGTTTCAGAACTTAACACTCATGAGCTCTGTGGTTCAGAGTAGCAAATGTCTTCTCAGCAGTTTAAAATTGGGACAGGGATTTATTTTAAATCTGACTGTATCTGTCTGGGTCTAAAGAAAAATATTTAATAAACATATGCTTGTGGGACACTCCTAGCATCTCCAGTACAAAGGATTAGCTTTACTTTAACACTGGGGTGGGGGCGGGGAGAGAGAGGGGGGGGGGATGTTCTTTATTTACATATAATTACTCCAACAAGCGGTGTAGGAGCAGTGGGCAATAACAGGAAATGACAGAAAGGCAGGGCTGAGCCTTTCCAGCAGGGTAGGTGTTGTGTGTTATGTTGCAGGAGTTGGCAGAGGAGCACAGGCTGGGGGTGCTCTGTTACAGTGTCCTGCACGGTTTCCACTACCCAGCAGCCTCAGAAGAATCCCAGAGCCCTGTGTTGGCCCAGTAGTAATGTGAACCTGTGGCCTTGGAAAGGAGGCTCTATAGTCCCTATAGAGACTTAGTTAAACTTCCTGTCATTCCTCTGGACTTTCTCTTTAACCTTCTCCGCCCACTCCCTGGTTTGTGTCACCACAGCATTTGTAGAACCACAGGAGAGAGTTGATTTTACAAGAAAGCCGGGATTCAGCTGGGCAGTGGGAGGCAGAGACAGGCGGATTTCTGAGTTTGAGGCCAGCCTGGTCTACAGAGTGAGTTCCAGGACAGCCAGAACTACGGAGAAACCCTGTCTCAAAAAACAAACAAACAAAACAAAACAAAAGCCAGGAAACCTAAAACATTTCAGTGGTTGTCAGTGCAATCACTGTCAATAATACCCTGGTAAGGAGATGGGGAGGGATCACATAAAACAACATTTCTTCATGATTCTGACTTTAGCATGAGTTTCTTGGGTTTCGGTGGGGCTGAGTTTGAGACAAGTTTTCCTTTCTGCCTGCCTCCTCTCACTCTCCCCTAGCTGCTGGGATTACAAGCGTGAGCACGGCACACCTGCCATGTAGTGTGAACTCACTGCACAAGACTAAAATGTAGAAAGCTGGTGAAACCAACTCTCAGGCGTTCGAGGAGGCGTTCTGGAATCAGAAGTGGAAGAACACAGGGAAACTCATTTGGCTTCTGTGGTGGAAACAAGTCACTTTCTCTGAGTGGGACCTGCTGCCGCTTGGAAGGTCACCCGTCTGAGACCCTCCCAGCCTCTGATTCCTATTTGATGTGTAAGTTAGAATGGGAGGCGGGTTGTGTTGGAGGCTAACATCTGAGAACTGTTCTCTGCTGCACCCTGACTGGATATAGGCTGGCGTTTGCTGGCTTTCTTGCTTTTGTGCAGCTAGTATACTAAGAATAGTTTTGCATTTTTAGAGAAAAAAAAAACCAAAAACCAAAACCCACCACTACCACGAAGCATAAAGTATTTACTGTCTGACCCTTCACAGAAAAACAAAACAAAACTCTCAGAACCAGTCAATCAAGCAGTTTCTGATTTCTCAGAAATCAGATCTGATTTCTCAGTTTCTGATTCTTTCACATTTTCTGGGTAAAGCTTCAAGCCCTGTATTGGAAACACTCGCGCGTATAGATGGGGCTTCCTGTCAGAGCGATCTGGACTGTTCTACTCTCTGCTTTGTCCTTCTAGACAGAAGCCTATCTCAGCTCCTCTCACCCTGCCCCACCAGTCCTCAGACTTGCCCCTGTGCACACCACCCTTTCTGTCTTTGCATAACAACACTGAGAACTCGATCCTTCATGACACCCTGTGTGTGGGTAGTCACAACCAAGTTCATCATATTAGATATGAATTTTGTATAAAGAGGGAATATCAATGAAAGCTTCAATCAAAATATAAGACATGTCAGAGATGAGGTTTTTATTGATGGACTTAGTGTCCTAAATAGCAGTTTTATGAGTTCCTCACATCCTAAGGGATAGCTTTTTTGCTGATTGACTTAGTTTTGGTTTTTGCAGGACTGGATATTGAGACCAGGGCTCCAGCACTGAGCTGCATCCCCAGCCCGGGACGGGGCATGGGTTTCATTTGCTAGAATCTCGGGAGCATCCTAGAAGAGTTGTTGTTACTGATGCATCCCAGCCTCTGAGAATCGTCACAGCTGTTGCTCATGTGTGTCCCGTGTTTGTTTGGTTTCTTTTTTTTTTTTTAAGTAAAATTTAGTTTTACTCATGTGTAAACAGTGTCAGTTTTAGGTAGGTAAGGAAGGGAAGGCTCCATTTTATCTCTGTGTGTTTCTTGTTGGAGATTGCTGCTGCTGTTTTACAGTGGGCCTTGCTTGCTGTCTCATCTTCCTGTGGTTTAGAGTTTTGTACCACATACACCACGTCCTTACATACACCTTTTCCTAACTGTCACCTGGGGATGTATTAAGTCAGTGCAGTCTAGACCGAGCAAGCTACACTAATGGCTTAGATGTAGTTACAGCCTGAAGTTTATTTTCCTTTACCAACTTAATTCTAAGGACGCTTGAATGTAGGACCTGTACGGTGTATGTGTTAAAGTTATGTTTCCTTTTTCCTAAATGCCTAAGACCGGTAGTGTTTCAGATTTTAGATTAAAAAATGTTTTGAAATATTTGCATACATATTATGTAATCTATATTTTATACATACATACATACATACATACATACATACATACATACATACAGGGAGGGGGAAGAAAGAGATGAAACCCAAATAGAGCTATAAAATTCCTTGGTGTTTCACATGCGTCTGCCTTGTGCACACAGCTTGAAGGACATTTGCTCTGTGTTTGAGCGTGTCTGAGAGCTGACTGACCTGCACACAGGAGGCCGGTTGTGCAGTTCTCACCTGGGTCGTGCCACTCACGGTTGGAATTCTGGGTTTCAGGTTGGGTGTGTTCGACCTGGACTGTTAACTAGTGAGTTGCTGTGTGTTTTATAACTGTAGGTAATATTTAGCTTGCCTCAAATATTTTAAGCTGATTTTTAGTTTTAACAAATACTCCTTATTGGATGAACTACACAGGAAAACTTTCTTCTGTTTTTTTTTTAACCATGTCTCTTTGTGACATAAACATCGGGGTATTTAGGGTAAAGTAGACACTGCATGTTTTTTATGAGGATGTCGAGTGATACAGTTCCATTGTCACTGCTGTTTTTAAACTGTACAGTCTCAACGTTTGAGTGAGTAAACATTTGCAGAACACTGGGGAGAAGTAAAGGCCCTGTGCTCTGTGCTACCTCCTCCCAGGATGATGTAGTTCAGGATGTAGCTCATATGGACCACACCGAGGTGGAGGGGGCACCTGGAAACTGCCTTGGGAGTTTTTGAGGAGGGGCTTCCAAAATATTTTAAAACACATGAATCACTTCAGTCTGTTTAAACAAACAAAAAAATTGATATCAGGTCCCTTTTAGAAGAATAATTGTCTCACTTTATAATATTTTTTAAAGAAAGAAAAACATTTCTGATGGTTTTTGTGTTCTGTGATTTCTAACTCTTTACCTGAAGCAATCTTCTGAAGCATGTCCCACACCATCAGAGTAACTTGATGGTGACTATCATCTTTGTACCCGTTAGCAGTCTCCAGTCATCTGTGAGAGGGGATAAACTACTTTGCTACTACTTTAGGCCGCTTGTGGTCTAGAGACACAGCTGAGGATGGGGTGTTCGGGTATGTGAGAGGTTAGTATTTTCAAAAGCAATCTCTGATATTGTGACTATAATTATTTTGTAGTGTTTTAATAGATGCATATTAAAATTTGTAGAAAAATATAAAATGTCTGTGTGTTTATCTAATAGCAGTTATTTTTAATTACATATATATCGAAATAGTGATTTCATAAAATAAAGCATAACCACCCAAATACAAGGATACATACTGTTTTCTTACTCACGGGGATTGTAGAGTTGGATCCTTTCCTTCCTGTGTAAATGTTCTGTTTACATAATATGAATTTTAAGACTAAATCTTTTGTTTAAAAATAAATGTTTAGACTGGACATAGTAATGCATACCTTTAATCCCAACAGAAGCAAGTAGATCTCTGTGAGTTCGAGGCCAGCCTGGTCTACTTAGTGAGTTTCAAGATAGAGAGCTACAAAGTGAGATCCTATCCCAAGAAAACAAAAACAAAACAATAAATTAAACCAAAGTTGAAATGAATGTTTTATTTCTCTCAGGAACTGAAAACTGGACGCCTCTGTGGTAAGAGTCAACCACATAGTGACAGCCTCACACTTGACTTTCGTTGTATAGACAGCTCCATCTTCACTGGACAATAGTTCAGAACAGATTACTGTTCTTACCAACACTTAACGATCTCATATGAGAAAAACAAGTATCCACAGGCCTTTGTGTGACTTACTTATAAAATAGAGCTGTCTTAGGGTTTCTGCTGTGATAGACATCGTGAGCAGAGCAACTTGTGGAGGAAAGGGTTGTTGGATAATGTTGGCTTTGTCATGGAATATCTTATTTTCTCCATCTGTAATGATTGAAGGTTTTGCTGGGTATATTAATTTGGGTGTCTGTGGTCTCTTAGAGCCTGCAGAACATCTGTCTGGGTCCTTCTGGCTTTTAGAGTCTCCATTGAGAAGTCAGGTGTAATTCTAATAGGTCTGTCTTTCTATGTTTCTTGGTCTTTTTTCCTTGCAGCTTTTAATGTATTGTCTTTGTTCTATATGTTTAGTGTTATTATGTGTTCAGGAGGGGGTTTTCTTTTCTGGTCCAATCTATTCGGTGTTCTGTGTTGTGCTTCTTGTACCTTTATAGAAGTCTTCTTTAGGTTTGGAAAGTTTACTTCTATGATTTGGACACCTGAGGTTTGATAAAGAAGTCAGAAATACACACTGCAAAAAAAGGAAATCTTCAACAAATGGTACTGGTCTGATTCTCCACATAGAAGAATTAAAATTTATCACCTTGAACAAAATTCAACTCCAAACGGATCAAAAACTTGTATGTAGTTATTAGGCATTAAATAAATAATAAGCAACCTACAATCCCTACACCCACAGAGGTTAAGCATAAAGGAAGGGACTGAGGGACACATAGATCTCCCTGGGAAAGGGAAATAAAATGCATTGTATGGGTGGGCTGGAGGATAGGAGTGAGAAAGGGAGGCTCGGGAGGGGAGGAGAGGGAAGGGGAGAGACAGCTGGGATTGAGGGTCATTTGAGGGCTGTTATGGAAACCTAGTGCAGTGGAAACTTACTAAAAAAAATATGAAAGCCATCTTACTGGGGTCTCCTAACAATGGGGAAGACAGTCCTGACTGGCCATCTCTTGCCTTCAAATGAGGCTTCCAATACCAGGACTGGGTTGCATTCAATTGATTTGTTGGCCAAGGAGGATCCATGGAAATCCTGAGACAATGCAAGCTGTTGCCAAGACAATGGGCTGTTCTCTGCACACTGACAGTGGCATTGGGTGGGGCTCATTGCTGAGGACAGCACCCATACAACTCATTCAACATGGAGAAGTTGAGCTGGGGCCTAAATGGAGCCCTCACCCCCTACGTTGTAGTGTCTATGATGAGAGAAGGTACTCTGTAGGCTACCGAAAGAGAAACATGGACACCAATCCAGCCACAAAGCCTTTGTCCTCCAATCTGTCCTGCCTGCAAGATATGCTAAGGTCAATGGTGGCACTGAACTCCTGGGAGAAATCAACCAACGGCTAATTTGAGTTAAAGCCCACTTCACAAAAAGGACCTCATACCTGACACTATGTGGGTAACCAAGAACTAGAGGCTAGAGAGCCCAGAGATCTAGGATAAAACCCAACACTGCTGGTCTAAAAAAATAAAAAAATAAATAAAATAAAATAAAATAAAATAAAATAAAATGACTCCTAATGACATCCTGCTATTCTCATAGATCAGGGCCTTGCTCAGCCATCATCAGAGAAGCTTCCTCCTGCAGTAGATGGGAACAAATACAGAAACCCACAGCCAGACAACGTGTAGAGAGAGACTTTGGAATACACCTCTCTAAGTGGGATATCTCCTTCCAATCCCTCCCCTCAGAGCTCAGGGAATCCACAGAAGAGACAGAAAGTGTATAAGAGCCAGAGGAGACGGAGGACACAAGGCACATAAGCAAGGCACATACAAGCTCACAGAGACTGAAGCAGCAGGCACAGGGCTCACATGCGTCTGCACCAGGTCCTCTGTGTATATATAATACTTAGCTTTTGTGGTTTAAAACTCGCGTGGGGTGCAGGGCGGGCGCAGGGCCCTGCGAGCCGCGGTTGTGGCTGAGGCAGTCTTCAGAGCCTCAGCTCAGGCCTCCCGCGCGTGGCAGTCCCAGCTGATGGTTCGATCTCACCCGCGCCGCCAGGGCTTGGGATACCCGCATGCTACAGGCGGGGTCCCGGGAGCAGTGGCGCAGGAGGGGAGGGAGTCCCTGGAGCAGGGATGGGGCAGCCCACAAGGGGCTCGGGTGTATGGATGGTCGCTGCTAGGGAGAGAGCCCCGCTGACCGCTGGAGCAGGGAGTGCAGGGAAGGCTTTCCTGGGCGGGAGTTTCCCACTTACACAAATGAGTCCAGAGTCCCAGGAGACACGTGGAATTGAAGACATGGAGATTTTATTGACCATGATAGTTGTATCTTGATGTGAATGCTCTCCCACAAAATACCAGGAGGGGCTTCCTTATATTGGAAAGAGGAGGGGCTTGGGAGATGAAAATTTAGATATCTACGCCCTGGCCTCTAGGTAATTCATTAATATGTAAATCTTGAGGCAGAGACCTGTTAGCCACGCCTTCTACCTGTGCCTTATGTGACTCTCTATATGGGTGAAATGGAGAGAGTGCCTGTTAGGTCTCTGGGTTCTGGGGGCGTGGCCAAACACCCCAGGATTTCTACAGCCCCACAAGCTTTCCGCTTAGTATGCTGATGGGGTTTCTGGGTGTGTGGACAAGTGGGTCTTTGATTCTTGTGCCTGCTCTTGGGGATCTTTTCCTTCTGTTGAGATGCCTTGTCCAGCCTTGATGTGATGGTGTTTATTTTATCTTACTATATTTTATTTTGTTATGTTTGGTTGTTATCTCTTAGAACCCTGTTCTTTTCTAATGAGAGACAGAAAGGGAGTGGATCTGGAGAGAAGGGGACGTGAATGGAGAGGGGAACTGGGAGGAGTGGAGGAAGAGGAAACTGTAATCAGGATATATTGTTCAAGAAACGAATGAATCTATTTTCAATAAAAGGGAATAAAGAGCTTGGAGGGATGGAGAGATGGCACAGTAGGTAATAGATTGCTGCAAGTGTGAGGTCCTGAGTTTAGATTCCCAGAATCCAGAGACAAGCTGGATATGACAGAGCTTCATGTAACCCCAGTGCTGGGCCCAGAGACAGGAGAATTCCAGCCCCTCCCTAGCCAGCCAGTTTAGCAAAAAAGCAACCTTGAAGTTCAGTGAGAGAGTATCTCCAAAACACAAAGTGGGAAGTGATTGGGGTAAGACATCCTGGTGTTAATGTCTGGCCTCTGCACTCTGACATAGAAAAACACACACACATGCATGCACACACACAGTTTGAATGGATTCTTATTATTATCAAATGGAGCTGGGCCTCCATACCTATAGGTTCTGCATCCATGGATTCAAGTAACTATGAATCAAAATTTATCAGTAATAACACACATTCATATTGAACAGATGCAGGCATTTTTTCATGTGTGTGAGCATGTGTATATAGCGTGTGCATATGTGTTTGGTGGCTTCACATGCTTACATGTGCACTCATAAAGACCAGAAGAGAATATCAGGTGTCTGGCTCCACTACTGTCCACCTTTTTCAGAAAGAGTCGGGGTCTCTTTCTGAATCTAGAGCTACACTAGTGGCCAGCAAGCCCTGGAAGTCCTCCTGTCACCACTCTGCCCCCTACATACACACACTCACACATGCTCACACGTGCACATACACACACTCATACACATATACACCTACACGCATGTGCACATATTCACACACATATACACATGCACACATGCTCACACACGCACACACGCACCCCCACACATGCACACACACTCATACAAACATCTACACACATGTGCACACACACATATACTCACACACATGCACACACACCACAGCACTAGTGTTGCAAACGTGCACATGGGCACACACAGCTTTCTAGGTGAGCGCTGCTGATTTCAACCCATTTTTTCAAACTTGAGCAGCAGTGTTCTTACCCATGAAACCATCTCTCCAGTCCCCAGATTTTTTTTTCTTTTCTTTCCCTAAATAATATAACTGTTTATATAGTATTAGATGTTCTCTGATGCAAGTAGATTTCCATGGGCATATATTGTGGAAATGTACATGATGTATGACATCATGTTGTATGACACTGTTCCTGTATATATGTGAACAAGCATGTACCCACTCCAGATAGAAAATCAATGACAGATACCACCAATGTCCAACATGGTGAACCAATGAGCTTTATTGGAGTTATTTAGATGTGTAGAAATGACTCAAAGACAGCTGCATTTCCAAAGCCCGCCCCATCATGAGTGACAGCTCCCAGTAGTTGGAAATCTGGAGCTCACTGCATGACTTGCAGGCAGCTAGATGAGTTGTAAACGGTCCCTTCTAGGCAGCTTGGCTGGTCTTTTCCTCTTCCAGATTACTTGGATTACCTAAAAGTGATTCTCAGCAGTTCTTATTACTTATCTATACTTGGTGGAGGGTAATAGCTTATCAGTTTCAGGGACTTCCTGAAACTTTTGAGTTATTTGCTTCCGAGCTTAACCTAAAAGGGTTTCTTCCCTGTGGGATGGATGGCATCACCTTCTTTAAGCACATCCTAAGTCCTAAGGAGCTTCTCACCAAGATGAAGAATTGCAACTTGGAGGAGATTGCTAACGAGCAAATGGTTTTTGATACAAGGCTTTTAAAAAAGTAACTAAGGTTAAATGAGCCTATGGATGTGGGCCCTGATACAATGTAACTAGGGGAAAAGGATCTAGACAGAGGTTGCTACAGAGGAAAGAAGGCAAGGATAATGCAAGAAGGTGGCTATTGGAAAGTTAGGAAGAGAGGCTTCTAGGGGAAACCACATCTGCCAGCACCTTGACCTTGGACATCAGTCTCTAGAACTGTGAGAAAATAAATCTCTGTTGATTAAGCCATCCAGTCTGTGGTCTTCAATATAACAGGTTAGCAGGCTAGTAGAGCATTTTACACACTGGCTCAAATAGTGGAGTATCCAAAACAGTACATAGGGGTTTAGTCACATGCTCTGAAACCCTTGACTGCTCAGTGGCCCTAAGTGGTGAGGAAGAAGACAGTGGCAAAGATGTTGACTTTAATGGTAATTATTTTATAAAATAAAAATGAAAAATCAACCTTTTTAAACCTCACCTAGCCCAGGCTTGCCTCCAACCTGCTATAAAGCTACGACTGGCTTTGAATTCCAGACCCACCTGCTTCTACTTCCCAAGTGCATGGCAAGCCATGCTTGGCAAAACAAATAGTCATTTTGAAAATCCATGTTAATTAGTTACTTATTTTATCCCTCTAAGTCTATTACTTGAGTTCACTAAAAGCTTTTGATGACCTTTTATTGGGGAAAATGAGAGACTGTCTTCTTAGTAGGAATTTGCGAATAGTTCTTTTTTAAAAAGATCAGAATAAAGAATAGCCTTGTATATGATATTATTTAGTATTGATCCATCAAGTTAACTTTGAAATGATGGGGGGTATAAGGACATATATGAAGGAAGGTTTCTTAGACCACCTCCATATTTATTAACAATATGTTCCACAATATTAAATTATCATGTATGTTTCTCCTGGGATTCTTTCACTAAACTCTGAACACAACCACAACTAAATGGGCTATGACTTAGCTAAGATGGCTTAGTGGCTGCTGGGATGTGGTAGATGCCGAAGAGATAGATGTCTCTCTGAGTGAAAGACATGGCCCTTAGAAAATGTCATACTGTTAAATACTCTCTGGGCAAGTTTGGCTGGGGTTGCTATATATCTTCTAGATAAATAATATGAAGGCTTCTATTTTAAAACAATACATCAAATTACAACCCATGGCTGACATCAGTTGCTACTGGGCTGCCTTATCTGGTCTATGGAATTCCCAGTCTAGAAGATACTTGCTTTCTAGTTTCCAGAGAGCACTGTACTCACTGAATGGAAATGAAGATGTCTGTCTGTTTCTTTTGCTTTTTAATGTTATTTTCTCTTAACAAATAGTTTGCTTCTCATTCTCAAATTAGAAACAGCCTCAAGTTTTCTTGAAATGCTGATTATGCAGAAGAAATTAATACCTCTTTAAGCTCCTCAGTCAGTGATGATATCACGCTACCTAGAAAAGACTTTATTTTGAAGAAAGCACCTGCTCCATGGTAGAGAGGCAGGAAAGTGACTAGGTGGGGAAAGGACCACGGTTCTCTAGCTTAGTCACCTCCACAAAATAGACAATGATACATGCATCTCTATCTTCAAAGTTTCTCTACTAAGGAAATTTCAGCAATCTAAAGAGCATTTCTTATTGGGAGAGAAACATACAGCTTGTAAAAAATGAGATCCTATGAGCACCACTGCCTTTCATTAAGTCTGGGGGATGCAGAGCAGGTGCAGAGACAGACTGAAGCATGGCCTTTCATCAGAAGGGGTTTATGTGCCTGTGGGATCAATGCAAATGAGTTTTATTTAAGTACTTCCCAAATCTACCTAGTCTAAAGAACACAGTCCATTGATGGAAAACCCCCTCAATGTGAACAGCATCCAGGGCTCCTGAGTTGCAGCATGTCCATATATATGTGCTCTTTCTGGATCTGGGAGCAGCTAATATCAGCTACTATCATGGCAACTTCCTGTAACACCTACTATAATGCTGTATAGACAACTGATACCTAGTAAGTGCAAAAAAGGTGTCGTGTCAGTACAGCTTTGGATAGCTCAACAGGGGACAGTGAAAACCCAGGTGGGTGCCGGAATGGCTTTAAACCCTACTCTTCATTTCACAGTAACTTCTGTAGTGCACGCTGAGATGTACACAATTACAGGCATCTAAGAGAAAATTGACCAGTATATCAGATTGAATAAAATGTAAGCGGCTGGAAAAATGATCCTGGAGTATTTATCAATGGCGTGGGTGTTGATCCTCATGCTCACGTAGCTGCCTCTCTGGCTCTTCCTCTGCGGAGAGCCCCTCTCGGAGGCCAGGGTCAGCTGCACCATCATCCGGTCGGGTTTCTCTCCGTTCTCAGGCATGTAGCCGCCCAGGTCGTTCACCTCTCCGTCACTGTAGCTGCTGTCCAGCATTACCGCTCGAGGCTGGGGCAGCCCACAGGTGCAGGAGATCTGTGAACACACAGGGTTATGTGAGGTGAGGACCGGCACTCAGAAGCCTGCAAAAGCCCTGCGCATGAAGGCTGTTGCCCACTAGCCTCTTGAGTGGCTGGATTACATGTTGTTGACATCACACCAGGCACCAAACCTTTGATAAAAATGTTTAAGAGATGACGTTATTCAGTGTTGGTCATGAGGATGGGGATTGCGAGACAGCATGGTGGGAATAGTAGATGGTAAGGCATTGCTGAAAGAGAGAGGTTCTGTGGTGGTTTGAATATGCTTGGCCCAGGGAATGGCATTATTTGGAGGTGTGACCTTGTTGGAGTAGGTGTGGCCTTGTTGGGAGAAGTGTGTCACTGTGGGTGTGGGCTTTAAGATGTTCATCCTAGCTGCATGGAAGCCAGTCTTCTCCTGGCAGCCTCCAGATGAAGATGTAGAATTCTCAGCTCCGCCTGCACCATGTCTGCCTGGATGATAATGGACTGAACCTCTGAGCCTGTAAGCCAGCTCCAGTTAAATGTCGTCCTTATAAGAGTTGCCTTGGTCATGGTATCTATTCACAGCAGTAAAACCCTCACTAAGGTTCTAAGTCGCAGTCTGGGAGAAAGGAAGGGAGGGAGGAAAGATAACCTAAGAAATGATGGGAGCTATGAAGAGAAACTTCCCAGCACAGGTTATGGTTGCCTCTGGAGTAGTCTCTTAGACCTCCTCCATATTTGTCAATAATATTTTCTGCAAATGTTAAATTATCATTTAGTTTCCATCTGGGATTCCCTCCCTAAACTAGTGGTTCTCACCCTTCCTAAGGCTGTGACCCTTTAATACAGTTCCTCATGTTGTGTCGACTGCCAACCATAAACTTATTTTCATTCTACTTCGTAACTGTAATTTCGCTACCCTTATGAAGTGTAATGTAAGTATCTGTGTTTTTCGATGGTCTTGGGCAAGCATTCTAAACAGAAGCACAGTTAAATGAACTATGTCTTAATTTGATTTAGTGACTGTTGGGATGCAGATATTGAATGAATTTCTTCATTGAATGAAAGATGTTAGGGGGCTGGTAAGGTAGCTCAGAGGTTAGGAGCATGGTTGCTCTTCCAGAGGACTGTGGTTCAATTCCCAGCATTCACATGGCAACACGCAACTGTCTGTAATGCCAGTTGCAGGGGACCCGACACTCTCACACAGACATACATGCAGGCAAAACATCAATGCACATAAAAAAAAAATTTAAAGGAAAAAAAGATGTAAATGTCAAATACCAAAGCATACATCATTCCATTTGCTCATGACCATGTCTGGAAGTAGGCAGAGGAGTGGGTATCACAGCCATGCTTTACAGGGAGTGCTGAACCTGCCCACAGATCCAAAGCTAGCCTAACATATGTCATAGTAAAGCCACCTTCTCTCGAAGCTTCCGTTCCTTCCGCTCCTGCACTGTGGTCAGGTAGTTGACAGCTGCATACTCCAGCACTGAGAGGAACACGAACACAAAGCTGACCCAGAGGTAGATGTCCACGGCTTTGATGTAGGACACTCGGGGCATGGAGGCGTTGACGCCCGTGATGATGGTAGACATGGTGAGCACCGTGGTGATGCCTGCCATAAACAGTGAGAAATAAGCCATGTGCTTGCCTTCACCAGATACCGTAGGCCTCATCCCTCCGTGGCCCTGCCTCTTATTCTCTCTTGGCCTAGACATTTAGCATCTGCTCCCTTCTTGTGAACATCTTCCTGTCTCTCAAGACCTGGCTATCACAAATCTCTTCTACGTCTTTTCCACTCATCTCCACTTCCTCCTCTGTACACCTGGCATATTCATTACAGCATCAAATCACATCCTTTCTTCAGAAAGCTCCAGACATTTTAGCATGCAGCTACTTTTTTCCATTGTTTCAAGAAAGGAGATATAGATATAAACAATCAGGTGGTGAAGCATGGAGTTTCTCTCAACACTGTGTCCTTTGTGTCATAAAATTCCTATAATCCTGAGCCTGTCCCTTCAGCTGACAGCCACCCCATGCTGGATCGGTGTGCTCGCCCGGAAGAAAGACCTTGAGTATCCTGACATCAGTTCTACCAGGATCATTTTATTTATAGAAGACAGATTTGAATATGAAAGCACACATGTATTTAGCCCAGTACTTGTTGGAGTGTGACAGCTAACTGCTAGAGAACAGGGCATCTGTCTGTGGGAAATAGCCCAGGATTTCAAATTAAGCTCAGAACATTTGTTTGGAAAACATCAAATCATGGAGGATTAGGGTCATCCTCAGGGCCAACTCAGAACCATTTCCTTGAAGCCTGGTGGGCCTCCCTATCACTTGCAGCCTGAGCTGTCTCAGCAGTAGTGAGGCTGTGAGCTCAGTCCTTGGGGTGAGGAGAGGTGATGGGAAGTGAGGGACATATTGAAAATGCAGGTCCTGGCTGGGCAGCGTGGCGCACACCTTTGATCCCAGCCCTCGGGAGGCAGAGGCAGGCAGATCTCTGAGTTTGAAGCCAGCTGGTCCACAGAGTGAGTTTCAGAACATCCAGAGATACACAGGAAAACCTTATCTTAAAATAAACAGTCCCCCAACCCCCCTGCAGGTCCTTACCCAGGAAATCTGTCTTACTCAGTGTTCATTTTTTAATAACCCCCCTCAAGGATTGTTAAAGGTCCCTTGGGCCACCCTTTGAGCAACACTATTACAGAATACATTATACAGACCAGCATGGAAATCACCCAAAGACTGGGAAACCTCAGGACAGGGCTTTTAGAAGACTACAGGTGAGCTATTTGGACAGATTTCCATGTGGCACTTAGATTGGGGATACTACTCAAATCAGTACTTTGAAGTAGTTCCAAGCTATGCTGTGAAGAGGAGAAGGATGAAGGGAATGGCCAGTATTTCCAAACACCTGTAATAAATACTTAAGCTAGTCCTTACCTAAGGGGACTCTGGCAGGCACAGCTCTGCGGTCAATCCAGAAGGACACCCAGGACAGCATGACCATGAGGGTGGCAGGGAAGTAGGTTTGGAGCAGGAAGAAGAAGATGTGACGGCGCAGAGTGAAGTTGATGTACAGACGGTTGTACCAGCCTGGGGACACAGGGAGAAGTGAGAAGATGCAACATAGTGGCTTGCCTCCTTCAGAAAACAAGTTTTATTTAGAGAACCATAAACATTGCCTAAGACCCCACCCCCCGCCCCACTGGAACCATACCACTAGAGGGGGAATAGGAAACAAACAGTGGAGGTGTCATGTGGTGACCCTCACCATTTGTGTGAACCCACAACTAGAAATTTTTGTCCCCTTCATAAACACAAAGGGAACCCCTGAGAAAGTCACTTAAAGTCTGGTTTCTCAAAATATGGCTGGGGGCCCATCAGCCTTATGGTTACAAGTTTCTTAGAAGTTCAGATATAGCTCATGGGTAGAGTCCTTAACAGCAGGCATAAGACCCTGAGGTTGATCCTCTCCCCCTTTCTCCCTCTTCCCCCTCCCTTCTCTTTCTCCAGACTCCTAAGCCATAGCCCAGACCCACTGGAGCAGAATCTTTCTTGAACTGCAGCCCCATAAGCACTAATAACCCCCTTTATTTCTCTGCTTTTTAAATTTTTCTCTTTTTAAGAAAGGGTTTTAGGTTGCTCTGACCAGCCTCAAACATTATGTAGCTGAGAATGGCCTTGAACTCCTGATCCTCCTGCCTCTATCTTGCAAGAGCTGGGATGATGAATAGCCCCATGCCTGGCTCCCAAACTGGATTTCTACATGGGAAGGAATGTGTTTTAAGGTATAAACACAGTATTTTATCTAGGCATAGAGTAACAACCAGTGGTCCATTAAGCAGTACTCTGCCTTTGTGTTTTCCATGAAAAGGAACGTGTGAGAGGAGGATGCTCAGGACTGAGAATAAATGGGGACTTGGCAACTATAACTCAGGTCCTGGTATTCTCAGTGAGTGTATCGCATGGGACATGCCCTTTAGTATCAGCAAGTGATTGCAAAGGGACTTTCAGAAGACTGATGTTACAAGGGTGAACTGAACTCCCACACCAAACTGGGGTATTATGCTAACAGATTAGAAAGTCTGGGATGTGCTTACAAGGTGGAAGTACAGCAAGAGAAACAGCAAAAACCCTCTGAAAGATGACCGGTCAAATAAGAGGCAAGGGATGGAGAATGTTAGCTCTTAGCTGTCTACAAGCATAGGCCAACAGCTGGGGAAGACCTCAGAGCATAGTCTCAGACAACAGGAGGTGACATGCCCATACAGACCTTTGACTCATAAAGCCACAGCCAGGTCCACATGATGAGCAGAGAACAGCATTCTGAATTGGAACTTATTTGTTGCTATAGAGGAGAGGCTCTGGTGAGCATTTCATGGATGCAAGGTCAACTTAACAAGGCAATCATCTCAAACAAACCTACTCACCTGGCTTTCCTTTGAGTCTTATTGAATATTTTCTAGGCAGTTGAATCTGATACATTGGTGGATCAAAAATTGCCTACAAAGCTAGTGGCCTGGGAGCACACCTATAACCTTAGAACTGGTGACACTGAGCTAGAGGGCCAGACTAGATGCATAGTGTACAATGAGTTCAGACCAGCCTAGCTGCATAGTATAATAAGTTCACCATCCTGGCTACATAGTATATTATGAGTTCAGTAGCTCAGCTACATACTATATAATAAGTTCACCAGCCTGGCTACATAGTATATAGTGAGTTCAGGGCAGCATGGATAATGAAGTGAGATCCTGACTCAAAGGAAATAAGTCACCCCTACCTGATGCATACCTACTAGACTTCATTTAGGTCTGGTCTCAAAGGCTTTAGGCCTTCTGTTTCAAACCTTTGAACACTTGATGCAACAACAAAATCACATACTTCCTAAATAGAGCTTGAACCCTCTAGCCAAGATGAATCCTCCCTGAAACTCAATCCATGCTCGGAGCTCACCTGTACTGCTATAGAAGGCTAGTTTTGTGGTGGTGTGGAATTCTTGAATGAGGAACTGAGAGAGAGAGATCCTCTCATCTGTCTTTAAGGAGTCATTGCCTTTTTTCCAGTACAGCATGAGGTCATCTTCTGTGTAAGCATCTAGGAAGAAGAGATCCAGTGTCAGGCACGGGTGGCAGGCAAGCCAGGCTTGCCTATGGGGCTGTGTGACCTCTGTGTCCTCCACCCACACACAGAATACTTGGCTTGTGGTAAGATAGCAAACCGCAATCTAAATAATATGGAAGACAACTCAAATTCTTCCCAGTTTCTCAAGAGTTATCAGGGCAAGCTCTGAAGCTTAAAGGCTGACAGTTCCTACAAAAAGTTCTACCCCACAATTCCACTGCAACACTAGGTTAAACTAAATGATAGTGCTGTTTGTAGGGCAGAGAAAGTTAACTACTGGCAAGAGTTCAGCTTGCCCTATGGCTCAGCTTTGCATACTCTTTCTTCTTTTGCAAAGGGTAAGGATTCATCACCAATGGCCAGACCCTGACTCACTCTCAGGCAACACATGTGGAGAAGGGTTTCTCCTCAGACTAATTGTGCCCATTTCCTCAAAGTAAGGTGAAATAACTCTCACTCCGAGGCTGCCAAGTGCCCACCACGCCCCACTCAGGTGAGGCCACGGAGTCCCATTGCACAAGCTCATGTGCTGCTGGACAAAACTGAGGTGAAACCTCTTGGGGCTGCAGTAAGTCTGTGCATGTGTAGTCTATTCTTCGAGGGCTCTCTAAACCTTGACTGTGTGCTAGGAGACATCTTGTGTCAACTGGCTCAGCTCTGGTACACAGGTATCAAACAGACACTAATCTGTGAAGGCGTTTTATGAAAGTGACTAGCATTTTCAACCAGCAGGCTTTAGGTAAAGAAGATTATCCCAGGTCCTCTGGGAGAGCCTGATCCCAGGAGGTGAAAGGCAGGAAGAGCAAAGCAGAGTTCCTAGAACTTTCACCTGCTACTGAGAGGGGTATTTAGAAGTTCTGGTGCCAGGCTGCATTTACTCACAGCTTTCGATTTCCAGGGAGCAGGTCTGTGTGTCCAGGGGAAACCTGCTGAAGTCCATGTTGCACATTGCTGTCACTGTAACTCTAGAAACAAAAAGACAAGTTCTCAGTGCCTGATGGAGACAGATGCAGAACGGTAAAGCACAGGGAAAAGGCCCTGCTTCCGTTCCCCAGTTCCTAAGTGTGTTGACATCAGGAAAGCCCCTTAGGCACAACATGATCTTTGGAGTCATCTCAAGTGTTTATGTTTGACACTGGGAACTGTACAAGGTAAATGAGTATCTCGGCTAACACCATCACAGTCCAAGAATCTAGAGATACAATGTCAGTCAGTATAACATTGTAACACACACACACACACACACGCACTTTTTAAATTTAAATTGTTGTTCAAATAAAAAAGTATTCTCAAAATATATTTGGATAACTACTCAAAATTCACCACTTCTTAGGGAGTAGTACACTTTACTGTTTATTGTACTCTTGCTGCTGATGAAATCTACTTTGTCTGTGTAGTAGGAAAATCACAGGACAGTGAATCCCTACCTGACACTGCTAAGTGGTCAAGAGCCTGAGACTAGATAGGCCATAGGCCTAGGGAAAACCTATTACTGCATTATGCTGAAGGAACACAGCAATGAGTAACCCCTGATACCAGCCTGCTATTCCCATGATCAGTGTCCCACACAGCCACCGTCAGAGAAGCCTATAGTAGACAGGAACTAAGAGTCCCACAAACAAGGTGCAGAGAGTAAGAGGCCTGGAGCACTTAGCCCTAAATGGAATGTCTTTATCAAACCTTCTCCTCAAGGCTCAGGTATGACAAGACCATAAGAGGAAGAGTTAGGTGGTGGATGACACCAAAGAAACAGTATTTTCCAGACACAACAGAATTGAACTACATATGAATTCAGAGACTGTGACAGCACACACAAGACCTGCCCAAGTTCAAACCAGACAAAAATCCCAGCAATGAGAAGGGGAAGAGGACAGACTGCCCCACCACCAACTGAGAAGCCACTTGCAGTTGATAACTGCTGGGAAAGGAAATCTGTTTTCTTCAATGAGTGCGTCACTGAGCATGTCAACCACACCTCTGGGAGGGCATCGTACCCACGAGTGGTTGGCCAATGCAGAACGGACTCCAAGTGGTTTTGTGCACTTTGGGTTTTGCTTTTGTAGTTTCTCTCTTATTGGATTTTGTTTGTTTGTTTTGATTGTATGGGTCTTGTGTTTAGTTTTGAGAGAGAGAGAAAGAATATAAAGTTGGGTGGGTACAAAGACGAGAGGACCTGAGGGGAGCTGGCATCAGGGAAAGAATATGACTGAAATATATTGTATAGGAAAAAGATTTTTAAAAATAAAAACAAGTAAACAAAGAGGAAAAACAAAATGTATGTGCGTAAAGCCATTGCATTGAAAATGACATGGATACTCAGGAAATGTTCATCCGGAATTTCAGAGCTGGTACCCAAATCAGCAAGTATGTATGTACTTCTTGAACAAGTGAGTAAATCCTACAGTTCTTTCTTACCTCACTTCTTGCTTATTAACATTAATAAAAGTGTCAGTCTATGCTCATTTGTCATCTGAGCAAGCAGACATGTTTACTATGGTCTACTATGGTCTCACTTTGCAGAACTGTTCTTGATAGTGAAATTATAAAAACTGGCAAAGGGTTTCACAGAAAAATAGTAGGAAATCATGCTCAAGTTAAAATACTTGGAAATTATAAGTAAAGAGTATTACATATTTTATTTCACTTGTAAATACCATGCTATCAGTGTGTCTGTTCTGTTTCCCATTGCTGTGATAAAGCACCCTGACAAAGCAGCTCAGAGTGGAAAGGGCTTATTTGGCTCACAGTTCTCTCTAGCCTGTGGAGAAGTTAAGGTGGCAGAAACTTGAAGTAGCTGGTCGCAGCCAAGAGCAGAGCACAATAAACAAATGCATGCCTGCTAGTGCTCAGCTGACTTTTTTGTCTTATTCAGTTCAGGACCCCTACCTCAGGGAAAGGTACTCACCACAGCGAGTTGGCCTTTCCTTACTATTAACATAATAAAGATAATCTCCAACAGACTAACCTTATCCAGACAAGTCCTCATTGAGACTCTTTCCAGATGATTTTAAATCATGTCATGTTGATGATTAAAACTAACCATCACAGCATCCTTTCTATCAGCAATATTTAGAACAACTTATGTTGTTATATGTATACACACATATATATACACACATATATGTGTATATGTGTGTAATATATTCATATTACTCACATGTAATATAAAAATATAATATATAAGATATAATGTATAACATTTAGCATATAATGTATAACATAGAACATGTAATATGTAACATATAACATATATAGTATATACTATGTGGTATATAATATATAGCATTTGCTATGTAGTATATTATATGTAGTATATAATATGTAGTGTGTAATACATAGTATGTGGTATGTAACAAATATATAAATATGTAATATGTGATATGTAACATATATGAGCACATATTGCATATCATATATATTATATCACATACACTATCTCATATAATAATATATTACACACACAGAGCTCATGACAAGCAGTTGCTAAACATTTACTAGTATGTCAGAGGTTATAGGGGTTATGGTCTGGTTCTTTGCAGTTCTTCAGGACTGTGGGGTTGTATTGGTTTGTTGGAGGATTTTATTTTGAAATAAGGTATCTTAAGGTCTTCAGAAATGAAGATTCCAGAGAGAACGAACCTGATATTGCTAGAGAAGGAACTGATGATCCATGACTTCTCTGAGGACGTCCTACAGAGGAATTTCCAATCAAGGAGATAAATATCCTGTCCCTGCACAGCTTAGATCCCAGCCAGGGTCTAAGGGATCATTACAGATGTCCCTGGGACACTGCTTAGATCCCAGCCAGGATGAGTACAGAGAGATTGTTACAGATGTCCCTGGGACACTTGGACAGGAATTCAACTTTGATGTTAGTATGTGAGTTTGTCTTTGCCATTCTTTTACAAATGAGCCCAAAACAAAGTTTGTCAACCTGAAACTCACTGTACATATGGTATAGGAGCCAGTCCCAACCATGGCCACTCCCTTTGGTGAGAGTCTGAGCTTGTTGCACTGCTCATCACTGAGGGGATGACCACCAGCTTCTACAGCTGTCCTTGCACTATGGTGGGGGGATGGGGTCACTGGCAGGTAAACACTCCTAAGGCATCTGAGCCCACAGGGGAGATTGGAGCTTGCTCTCTCCCTCCCTCCCTCCCTCCCTTTCTGCCTCCCTGTCTCTTTCTCTCTCTCTTTCTCTCTCTGTCTCTCTGTGTGTATGTCTGTCTGTCTGTCTGTCTCCCTCTAGCCCTCGCTCCCTTCCCCTTCCTTCTTTATCATTTTTCTTCTTTGGCAGTGCTGGTGGGACCCAGGGCCTCATACTTGCCAGGCAAATACTCTACCACTGAGCTACACACCTCAGCTCTAGATTTCATTTTTAACATTGTAAAAGTGATACTCAGAATGACTCTGTCCATGTTGTTTCAGGATGGAAACTGTGTTAGCAAGGTGGGAAAAAAATCTACTTAAACCTAAGTTCTGAAGAATACCCCAAACATGGAAATCCGAGGGAGAAAGATGCGTGTCTGAGTCCCTGAAGACAAGTTTATTTTTTATTTCCCTGATGCTTACTAAAAAAATAAAATGTTTTTGTTGTTGTTGTTGTTTTGGTTTGGTTTTTGTTTTGTTTTGTTTTTTTAGTTAGTCAAGCTTTCAGGTTGGAGAGTGACTCAACTGTTAAAAGCACTGTCTGCTCTTGCAGAGGACCTGAATTTTATTCCCAGCACCCACATGGTGGCTCACAACAGTCTGAAACTTTAGACCTAAGGGTTCTGGCATCTCCTTCTGGCCTTTGCAGGTACACACATGGTGTACAGGCATATACGCAACCAAAACTCCTATTCATAGAGTACAAGATAAAAGTTTTTAATTAAAGTAAATATTTAAAAATTAAAATACCAGGTGAGACTTCTCAGTTTCAGCCTGCCCTGGTCCCCACCTGAGGCTGTACAGCACTTTCCCGTCCGGCTGTACCCGCAGCATGACGTTGTCTGTGGTGGTGTCGTGGATGAAGGAGCGTTTGGAGTGCACAAAGAACATGTCGGGGACCCAGATCTTCTTTACCAGTCGGCCATCAAACGTCATGCTGAGGTTGTTGGTGCTGGGAAAAGACAGCCTCTCATCCTTCCAGTAGTGCCTCAGATACAGGGTCATGGTGAAGTCCTGTGGGTGGGAGACAGAGCAGAAATACAGAAACCTACCACTGTGGAGCCATCACCAGAGGGAACAAAACTGAAGCCAGTGGGCTGAGCATTGCCACTGGAGAAGGAAGAGACCTAGAACAGACTGTCCCTGAACTCTACCTACCCCACCGCTCCATGGCAGCTGCCCCAGTGACACCAGTGACTCAAGCTGAAAGTGCCCGAGTAATGCTGTGGGCACCTCAGCTGGAGATTAGTCCAGTTCCCAGGCCTTGGGTTGGACTGGTTTGAGCTGGTTCTTCACTGTTTCCTGGAGGATGTTGTTGGGAGAGATTTGCTTGCCTCCCTGTCTCACTGTCCTATTCTGTCTTGATGTTTCCTGGGAGCAGTCCCCAAGTACACAATGGACTAGAATTCTTTCAGGCCTGCTTTTTTGGAGGCTCCAAGCCAAGGTAGCATTTACAAAAGCCCCCTAACTTATAGAGTGCTCCCCACCATCTTAATTTTTGAGATAGGGTCTTCACTGTGAATGTAACCCAAGCTGGTATGGAGCTTTCTCTGCAATAGACCAGGCTACTCTCAAATCCAAGATAACCTTCCCTCCACCTCTCAGGTGTTGACTTGAAGACATGCACTACCATGTCTATCTGGCGACATTTAAAAAAAAAAATTGGAACCCAACTAAAAAGCAAAAAGAAGCCAGGCAGTGGTGGCACACGCCTTTAATCCCAGCACTTGGGAGGCAGAGGCAGGTGGATTTCTGAGTTCGAGGCCAGCCTGGTCTACAGAGTGAGTTCCAGGACAGCCAGGGCTACACAGAGAAACCCTGTCTCGGAACAAAACAAAACAAAAAAAAAAGCAAAAAGAAATGCTCCCACTGTTCCAGGTGTCCAGAGCGAGACACAGACTCTGCAGAACAGTGAGTCTGGCTATAATCTGGGCCTGCATCTCACAGGGCATCCATGCTGGAGGATAAAGGCCAAGTTTGTCGCCTGACTATCTCATACCAACTTGGAACAAACGACTGTAAAGTGAGTATGACAGTTCCCACCTGCCAAGGGGTTGCAAGTTATGACGGAATTCAGCTGAGCTTCTGCCCAGACAGGTCCACATGCGCCTCCCTGTTGCCCAGAGCCCTGATCAGAGAAGCACTCACCATGTCGACCTCTGAGATGCTGTCCAGGCTCTCCACTTGCACATCCACACCCACAGGAATGGCCGGGCCTGGGGAGGGCATGACACGAGCGCTCGCTTGCTTGCTTGCTCACTTGCCCTGCCCCCCTTTTTCTTTTTACCTTCTTTAAAAAAAATTATTCTTCTCTCATATATTACATGAAGCAACACGGTTTCAAAAGCAGGCAAAAGAGTCAGAGACAACTCCTGCTCCCACTGTTTAGGGTCCCACAAGGACAAGAAGTTGTACAACTGTAACATATATGCAGAGGACTTAGGTCAGACCCATGCAGGCTTCATGATTATCAGACCAGTCGCTGTGATCCCCTGTGACAAGGCTTTGTTATGTAGCCAGGCTGGTCTCAAACTCTCAATCCCCCTGCCCCAGCCTCTGAAGTGCTAGGATTATAAAAGTGTGCCATCACACTCAGCTGAACATCCTTTCTTTTTACTTGAGCTTTAACTATGGAAGAGGCAGGCAGAGGTGTATAGGTCATGTTAGAGTCAAATGTTTGAAGGCTTGATCATGCCCACATGAAGCAAAAGAAGTAAAAGAACAGGCTCAGGGGTCAGTTCCTTGGAACATTCCAACCAAAACAAGATTAGTAATAAAAATGTTTTGCCCTTTGTGAAATGGCATGGTTAAATTATTTTATTTTATGTGTATAAGTGTTCCTTCTGCAGGTATGACTAGTGTCTATTGAGGCCAGAAGAGGGTATCTCATCCTCTAAGACTAGAATTATAGACCATTATGAGCTTTCCTGTGACTGGGAATTGAACCTGTGTCCTCTAGAAGAATAGCCAGTGTTCTTAACCACTAGGCCATCTTTCCAGCCCCAGAATGATGAGGTTAATATAGTCCATTCCTTTCTGGTTCCATACGTCCATTTGAAACTGTGGTGAAGACCTCAGTTGAGACAGGGTCTGATCTAGGGAGCAGCCAGCATGGTCTTTAGCATGAAATTGCCTACTGAGTTTTCTCTGTTTGGACCTCCTTTCTTCGTGGAAATACTGGTCACATTCAGGTCATTGTCCTGCCCATTCATCTGTATCTTTGTTACATGGTGAAGAGGCTTCCAGAAAAGACACAACACGCTAAGCAGCCTTAAATCAAAATGTTACATTTTGTTGTTATTTCCAGGCCTTTTAAACTTAGTACTGACAGAGAATGAGAGAAGGCTTGCTTGCAGGGTGTGGGTTGGGTGTACGGTGTGTTCCAGTTAGTATGACACGAGGAGGCAGGATTGGATCCAATAGCTGCATATGACAAAGAAAACAAAGACCTTCCTAGAACTCGGGGGATTGGTTCACAGGGGGTTGGAGTGGAGGCAAACATGATTAGAAATAAATGAATGATTTCTAAGGGCTGGAGGGATGGCTCAGTCAGTAAGTTATAGGATGCCAGCGTGAAGACCTGAGTTCAATCCCATGTAGAAATACTGTGTGTGGCATTCTGTACTCCAGCAGTGTGGAGGCAGAGGCAGGAGGATTCCTGGAGCCCACTGGCCAGGCTGTCTAGCCTAATATGTGAGCTTCAGAACAGTGAGAAACTCTCAAAGGAAGCAGACAGCATTCCTGAGGATGGCACAAGGGTTTCCATTGGTCTCTGCATGCCTGTACACCCACACTTACATACATGTATTTGCAAACACATGAACATATTCATACACACAGCTATAAAAAAATATTTTCCCCAGAAAGAAAGGAACCAAACTCGGGTCAGGGAGATGGCTCAGGAGGTGAGAATGCCCAGTGGCTAACCTAAAGCCCCTGAGCTGGGTTCCCAGAAGCCACACGGTAGAAAGAACCAAATTCCACCAAACTGTCTCTGATATCCACACATTTCATGATGTGATGTACACCACACCACTTGCAAAATAAATTAATAAATTCACACACACACACACACACACACACACACACACACACACCTTTGACAGTGAGAAGGCCAAGACCCGGCAGCTGCTAAGCCTCAGAGAGCTTCGTGCTCTGGAGTGAATCCTCAACCTGTTTTCATTTCATTAAACCCAGCAGACAGGACTCTGATGTGTAAGTGTCAACTCAAAATGAGAACAACTCAAGCTCGAGGTTGTTGCATTGGGATTTCAGAGCATCCTTTAGGAGGCAGCCCTGGCTGCATCTGCCCAGCCTTCCCATGGCGGCCCCGCCTCACTGACCCTCAGTGAGCCTTCTCAAGAGCACTACCTGGGGCAGCTGAATGATCTTGCTTCACCACATGCCAGCAGTTACTCTGGCAATGCCTGGCAGGCAGGACCAGGGCACTAAGGACAGATGCTCAGGAGGTGCTCAGCCCACCAAGATCAGCCAAGGCCGATATGATGAGCAGATCAAAGAACCCCAGGAAAGAAGAGGCACCTCCCGTCCCTGAGTGCACACTCCGTACCTCCGAAGCCAGGCCTCAGGCTGAAATCCCGCCCCTCGGGTGCACACTCCGTACCTCCGAAGCCAGGCCGCATGCTGAAATCATGGTCGTCTATCCTCAGCAGCTGCTCTGACTTGGTGAGGGGTGACTTGGTTATGTCGGAGCTTCGTTTCAGAATTGGGCTGCCGCAGAGGGAAAGCAGGCTGATCACATGTGCCGGTCGGAGCCATCGGCCCTCTGCTTGCTCTCGGCAGGTTTGATGGAGTGTACTATGTATGTGTCCTTAGAGACACTGCCTCCCCTCGTCCTTTCCCCAGTTTTCTGGATAAAGAAACTGACCTGGAAGTTCCAAGATTGGAGTCCCTAGCCATATGGCAGGGCTCCTAAGTAGCAATGCCAGACCCTACCTCTGACGTCCTAGAACAGGGGCCTGAGACTAGTATTTCTAAAGGTTTCCCAAGGCTGGGAAGTACCTCAGCATAGGCATGGCCCAGGGTTCCATCGGTAGCACTGAAGGGGAAAATCTCCTTAGCAATTTGAACATGCCACCCCAACTGAGTCCTGCTGGACCTGGTCTCAGCGGTAAGCCAGACTCCTAGACGCCTTGGACACTTGGGGGGGGGGGCAGGAATTGACTGGAGGAGAAACGTATGTGTATGGCTGAGCTCCACACCTTGACCTTCTGTGGTTGTTCTGTGAAGGTGGACACCCTCACACCCTGTCTCCAAGGAAAGACGCTGCTGGATTGCTGGTAGGGACACATTTGCCTGTTTTTGTTTGTTCCTAAATGTGTAATGTATTTTCAGTGGCTGACAACCTCCCCCGCCCCACCCCGTCTGTCTCTCTGTCTCTCTGTCTCTCTGCCTTTCTCTGTCTTTCTCTGTCTTTCTCTGGCTCTCTGTCTTTCTCCCTCCCTCCTTCCCTCCCTCCTTCCCTCCCTCCCTCCTTTCTTCCTTCCCTCATTTCTTCCTTCCCTTCCTCCCTTCCTCCTTTTCTTTCTGTGTTTTTTTTAATGCAGTTAGGGACTGGAGAAATGGCTCAGTGGTAAAGAACATTGGTTACTCTTTCAAAGGACCCAGGTTCTACTCCCCGCACCTACATGATAGCTTACAAGTCTGTAATTCATGATCATAGGATCTGATGCCCTCTTCTGGCGTTCCTAGGTACTGCATGCACATTGTGCACAAACATAAATTCAAGCAAAAACACTATACACAAAATATTTTTTTTTAAAAAAAAAACTAAGCATGCAGTCAACTGACCTATCCCATCCACAGATGTGGATGTGGTGTTGTCTTGTTGGCTTTTTGTCTTTCTGACCAGAGTTTGTTATAGAAATATGTAAGTACTGAATTATAGTATTATTTTCCTTCTTTATAACAATTAATGTCCTACGGATGCTTCTTTGTCTTGCTCCCCCTCATTTAATAATATGCCCTGGATTTTCACACATGGAGTCCCCCACCCCCTTGTTCCCCTGCAGAGTGCCCCGTCTGACCAGTTCTCCCAGATGACACGTATGCTGCTCTGGGTCCTCTATCCCTACAATAAGGGACACCTGAAACTCTTCATCACCCAACAGCACAGTCCTAGGGGTCCTCACAAATAACTAACCATTTCCCACTCCTTAGGATGACGCCAGGCTGTGTTCCTTCAGACAGACCTCCCCATTTGTCTTCTCCCCCAGTGCAGATGCTCCCACACTTGATGGGGGCTCATTAGATCACTGAGCCTCACAGACCCTTGTGTGTCTGGTGCACAGGCCTAGGCTGAGGTTGTTGAAAGCAGGGGGAGACAGTTGAGAGCCCTGCTCAGGTCCCTGTGGCTGGCTCAAGTATGCTATCCTCCACCTCTTCAATACAGTTCCGTGGCTTGCTCCACCCAGCCCTCTGCCCTCGATATGTTCTTCCCTCAAAGAACCTCTAGTGTTCGTGAGTCTAGTGAGGTCAGGAAGCCTAGGATCTCACCTCTCTTCAGAACATGGCTGCTTTATTCTGTTAGACAACCGGCTTGTCCCCTGAAAGCAGTGTTGATGACTTAAGTAGAAAGGATATGAGCGTGGACTGTGGGTTATGAAGATTGAATGGGCCACATGGGGAAGTACCACACTTGCTGAACAGAGGAAGGAGCTGCGGCATGGTCAGGGGAACCCCAGCTGCTTCCTGGTCCTCATGGGGGTCAGGGCTGAGGTTGTGGATCAGGGGGCCATACCTGCCTTGCTTGTGGGCATCGTCATGGGCTCCTCGTCTCTGTCTCTGAGGTCTGCTGTGGAAACAAAAAAATAAAGGTGTTCCAGAGACTGTCTAGGGACTCAGATCAGTAAAGCACTCTGGCGTCTGTGCACACTTCAGATCTAGACAGAATAAAATGCGGGTGGGGAGGGAAGAAGGCTCAACGCATTAATCTGCTCTGATGAGCATTTTCCAAGTACTCACTGGGTCAGGGAATGAGGATTAATTATTTAGAAGGCCTGATTTACAGAGATCTAACTTAACCGCCTCCCCTGCCACCCCACACATGTATACACGTGCACGCGTGTGCACACACACACATTCATTCACACCCATACAGTCATATAAACACTTATACACACAAATTCACGCATACTCACACAATTCATACACACACACTCACTCATACACCCTGTGCACTCACACTCATGCACACACTCACACAGTTATGAACACTCATGTACTCACACAGACACATGAAGACACACACACACACACACACACATACATACATGTACACACATGCACTCACAGACACACACGCACACTCATACACGAACTCACATCCATCCGGGCCTGGAATTGAGCCTTAAGAGTGAACACTGTAACTTGGACCCACTATGAAACTGTGGCAGACAACAACACCAGTGAGCTGTACCCTCTCTGGTGTACTTGCCTCTGAGCAGAGATGTGGCCAAGCGGGCACAGCAGGGAGTAAAGGAGAGAGCCAGGCTGCAGCACTTACTGCTTAATTGCTGCTTCTTCAGTGTTGGTGACTAGCAATGCCTTGTGCTTCTGCTTAGGGCACACATACCTTCCTGTTCTTCTCCTTTCTTGGGGACATCCACATGCCTGCTTAGAGCCCTGAACCCTGCCCACATCTCTGGGAAGAGTGCTTGGTTTTGATTATTATTGGTTAAACCCCTCTCGGTGTAATGCTATTTTCTGCGAGGGCTCCACTGGTGACAGGGATGGGGATTATGTCATCAGTAGCACAGTGGAGCAGAGCAGGCATGAGCTCGGCAGAAAAGGGATGAAACTTGGAAAAGATAAGGTGGGAGAGCGGATAGGCCACCAAGGACAGAGTCCTGTGCATGCCCAGCGCCTGGGCAGAGCTGACTGCAGCCGACTCTCAGCACGGGGTAGCTGGATGAGAAGGAGTACGTGTCCTATACGTGAAAAAGAAAGAGCATATAAAAAGAGAACAAAGAGCCTGAGCACAGAGGATGGAATAAAAAACAAGTTGTCTATTCTGACTTCACCTTTGGGCTAGCCTGCAATACAATCACTCACCGACAGACAGAGGGCTGTCAAGCTCTGAAATACCCCACAGTTGTCTCTGCAAAGCTTAGACTCTAGCCTAGAGGACACAGACAAGGATTCCGTTGTTGTTAATACTTTAAAGTACGTATTCCTGTTCATATACCATTTACAAGCTGGAAAGTAGAGTAAACATAAGGCAGATAAAGAAACTCAGAAATAACTGGAAAGTTTTTACGCATATCCTTAACAGAGTCCACGGGAGTCTCCATTAGCCCTAGTTTGCATGTGAGAAAGCCAAGACTAGATACTCAAGTCGCTTTTAAAGTCACAGAGGTAGGTGCTGGGCTGGGGATCTGAGTTTGGAAACTTTGGCCACATTGCCTTGCTGGATGACCTTCCCTTCTCTCTGCCCTTATTTAGTTACTGTTTGAGCCAGAGTCTCTCAGTGAACCTCCCTGATTTGGCTGCCATGGCAAATATGGGCACTGGAACTCTTTACCATTTGCCCCATCTCCTGGGCTTGAGAATTAGGGCTGGAAGGTCTGCATTGCTTTGATGACCACATTGCCTCAGAGAGGAGAGAGCTTGGGTTTGACAAAGGAACAAGGATGGGCTGATGAAAACAATCTTGCTTTCGTGGCCTTTTAGTAGCCAAGAAATCTTGTATGTATCCCAGAACCCCCAATACCAGCTGTGATTCTTCCTTTTCTTCCCACCCTCACCTGGATACACCTAGCACTTACTCCCTGCTTAGACGTGCATTTATTCAAAAGGATGCCCTCTTCTCATGTGCTTGAGGTCAGAACAGGACAACCAGAGTCATAGCACTCAGCTAGTTCTGGCTGAAACTCCACCTCAAAATCTTGTTCCCTGTCTTGCCCTCTCTGTCCCCGCCACCATATGAACGGAATCACATGGTTCTTGTCAAGTTGTAGCGCACTGCCCTGCCTGTGCCCTTGTTTGTCTGCCCTAGACATCACAGCAACGTGAAGATCAGACATGGCGTTTTCCACTGAAAACCTTTCACCTTCAAAGTCAAATCCATAGAAATTGGACAACAAGGCTGCAAGTAATCTATCACCCACTGCCACCTTGTCTAGGGGTGATGTCACCCCTGAACAGATAGACAACGCTGTATAAAGGAGCAGGTTTAGGGTCTGAGAGGTTGGCTCAGCAATTATGAGCTCTTGTTGCTCTTCTGGATGACTTAGACTCAATCCTTAGCACCTACATGGTAGCACACAAACATCTGTGTCCTCTGACCTTGGCAGGCACCAGGCCCATGTATGGTACTCATACATATATGCAGGCAAAACACTCATACACATAAAATGATAAAAACAACTATTATAGTTTTTTAAAACAAAATCTGAGCAAGCTATGAGGAACAAGTCAGCAGTGTTCCTCTTTTGTCTATGCTTGAGTTCCTGCCTAGAATTTCCTTCATGATGGACTGTAAGGTGAAAGGAACACTTCCCCAAGTGTCTTTTGGTCATGGTCCTTTCACATCAATAAAAGCATGTGGGACTGCGTAAGGGTACCTACCCTGAGACTCCAAGGGAGAAACGGCAGGTGTTCAGCCACGTCCCCAGAACACAGAGTCCTGACATGCAGTCTAGTCTCCATAGATCTACATTGTTCAGTCACATAGGCCATTACAGCCCCTCCCAAAGTGCACAGGTAGAGGATGTGACTCCAGGCCTCAGGCCCTAGGGATTTACATACTAATGAAGGCCAGAGGGCGGAACAAATTAAGCATTCTTCCCAGAGCCCCCCCCTTTTTCCCTCCCTATTTAACTCAGGTCTGCCCTGAGTTTCAGGGGGGTACATCCAGATCCATCCACCATCCACCATGAAAATAAACCCTTCTGGAACCAAGGACTTCCTCGTGTCATTGGAGTCTGCCATCGTCAAAGCCTCCAGCCTTTGGAACTCCAGACCTTTCTCCTGTATGTGGGACCCACAGCATAGAAAGCCTCTGGGACACCACCACTGCGGCCTATTTTACCACAGAAGCAAAGCAAAACAGTGACAGATGGTCCATTCTGCTGAACAAGAGATACAGACTGTAAGCTGTCAAATGACTCTCATCCAAGGCCATTGGTAGCTGTGCCAAATCTCAAATCTAGGCCTTCTTATTGTTTGGAGACTCTCTTCCCGCCACTGTTCCACACAGCTTGGAGATCAGGATTGATTCCTGTTGCCTAGAACTGTTACAGTGAACAGGAGCTTGTCAATGACACAGCCAGGACTCTATCAGGCCTTGCAGGCATGTGGACTCTAGCTAAGACAATAGACATGTTCTGGAGGAAGGTAAGGATGCTGAGATGGCTGTTTCAGACATGGGGTTAAAGAAATTCCCCTGAATAGGTGACAGTTATAGAGGCATAATGTGGATGAGAGGACATAATGGTGTCCAGGCAGAGGCACAGAGTGGACAGTGCCCATGGGACTCACTATTCTCAAGGAACAGCCAGTGAGCCAGCCAGACCACACTGGTGCAGAACACAGAGCAGGGAGACTGGGCCAAATACCTAGGTTTGCTCTGTGACTCCTCAGATCAAACAAGCCCCTAGATGAGGTGTCTTGTTGCCAGGGTAGCTATTGAACATTGGTCTTAGGTGTGGTTCCTGGAAGCAGAAAACTGGAGCAATAGCATATCTGACCTTTAACCCCAGTTTTTCTGACCTGGCAGGTGTCTCCTTAGCTATGAAAGGATTGGAGCCATGCATTGATGTGGAGTCTGTGATTCCAACACTCAGGAGACCAAGACAGGAAGATTGATGTGAGTTTGAGCTCAGCCTGAGCTGTATAGCAAGATCTTGTCTCAACCCCTTCCCAGCTTATAATTAAGAGAAATAATGAATTGGGCTTCAAGCTGTCAATGACTGTGTTGGGATCTGTTGTAAAAGCATCACTGGAAGGCACTTGAAGGTCTCTGCTGTCTGAGGCTGTATCTAACTGCCCTATTTGCTCAATTCTTATACTATGAGGCTGCTCAAGGGATGTGGTCTCTCCTGGAGAATCCCAGAGTTTATGCATGTTTCACATGATGAATATTCTGTATTTTCCCTCAGTTCTAAATAGTTCATCTCCTCTGATTACTTACTAAGTGATTTTAATAACAAATAATCTGCTTCTTGAGTTACCTATTACCTCAGTCATTGTTCTATTGCTGAAAAGACCTGATAACCAAGACAACTCATATTAAAGAAAGAATTTAAATTGAGGCTTGCTTGTAGTTTCAAAGGCTTAGTCCTTTATCATCACAGTAGGTAGCAGGGTGGCAAGTAGGTTTAGTCCTGGAGAAGTAGCTGAGAGCTACATCGTGATCCACAAGCAGAAAGAGGAAGACTGAGCCTAGCATGGGCTTTTGAAACCTCAAAGCCCACTCCCAGTAACACACTTCCTCCAACAAGGCCACACATCCTAACCCTTCTAATCCTTTCAAATAGTACCATTCTGTTGCAGGATATTTTTTCTGTTACATTGTATTTGCAGTAGAGCTCAGTGATTGGGCAGTAGAAGAGGAGGTGGAGCTGAGAGGAAGAAAGAGGAAGAGGAGGGAAGAAGGAAGAGGAAGAGGAAGGCTAGAAACCATGGAGGAGGACAGATGGGTCAAGAGCAGTCCTGGGTAGTAACTTATATCTACACGTTAGATATTGGCTAACTATTCTAATTACACAGGCATCTTGTTAATTGAGCATTTCCAAATATATAAATCCATTGGATAATCTTTAAGCATTAAGAGTCTTCATTCTACAAGGTACC